GTCCCCTAGGCTTCCCATCAAACCTTTTGAGTTGCTGTTGTCAATTTGATCTCACATAATTTTTTTTTTTTTGTACCTTAGATGAAGGTTTGCAGAACAGTTTCTCCTTAAACAGTTAGTATACATATTGCCCTATGACAATGGTTAACAACCCCATGACATGTCAACACTGTCCCTTCACAACCTTGGGTTCCCTATCACCTGCTTTCCTGTGCCGTCCGGCCTTCTAGTCCTTGTACCTGGACTTCTGTGTCTCAGTCCTGTTTTATCAGGCTGTCGAATCCCCAGCTGAATGGTGAACTTCAGGAGGGGCTTCACCACTGAGCTAAAAGGGTATCCAGGGGCCATACTCTCGGGGTTTCTCCCAGTCTATCAGGCCAGTAAATCTAGTCTTTTTTTTTGTGAGTTAGAATTCTGTTCTACATCCTTTTCCGGCACTGTCCAGGACCCTCTATTGTGATCCCAGTCAGAGCAGTCAGTGATGGTAGCTGGGCACCATCTAGCTGTACTGTACTCAGTCTGGTGGAGGCCATGGTAGCTGTGGTCCATTAGTCCTTTGGACTAATTTTTTCCTTGTATCTTGTTCTCTTCATTCTCCCTTGCTCCCAAAGGGTGAGACCAGTGGAGTATCTTAGATGGCTGTTCACAGGCTTTGAAGACCCCAAGCGCTACTCACCAAGGAGGAATGTAGAACATTGTCTTTATAAACTGTGTTATGCCAAATGAACTAGATGTTCCCCAAGACCATGGTCCCCACAGCCCTCCGCCCAGCAATTCAGTCCCTCAGAGAGTTTGGAAGTGTCTATGGAGCTTCCATGACCTTTCCTTGTACAAGTCGTACTGGCTTCCCCAGTAATGGGTACTGTCTTACCCTTCAACAAAGTTACCACTTATCTATTTAGTTCCCCCCACCCCTCCCATCCCTCATAACCAACAAAGATTGTTTCTTTTTGTGTGTGCGAACTTTTACATGAGTAAAATACAATATTTGTCCTTTCGTGATTGACTTATTTCACTCAGCATAATGTCCTCCTGTACGATCCATGTTATGAGCTGCTTCGCAGATTTATCATTGTTCTTGATCTTTGTATAATACTCTATTGTGTGTATGTCCCATAGTTTGTTCATCCATTCATCTGTTGATGGGAAGCTAGGTTGTTTCCATCTTTTTGCTA